AGAAATCTGATTCAAAGTAAGAGTACGCTTACTCCTATCCCTAACAATGTTTATGCCTAGGATCCTCTTGGCATCACCTAGGTCTTTCATGGCAAAATTCGCACAAAGACATTTCTGCACATCTTTTATAGCATTCAGAGAAGGACTAATTATCAGCATGTCATCCACATAGAGTAACAAAAATACAGGCACAGAAGAAGTATTTTTGAAATACAGGCAATGATCACAAACAGATTTTTGGAACTTCAAAGATATCATGCATTTATCAAATTTGATGTTCCACTGCCTAGGGGATTGCTTCAGGCCATACAAAGCCTTCCTAAGCAAACAGACATGCCCACTTCTCTTGGGATCCACAAAGCCCTCAGGCTGGGTCATATAAATTGTTTTATCCAATTCACCATGCAAAAATGCAGTAGTTACATCCATCTGTTTCATTTCTCAGTCATGGTGAGCAACTAAAGCAAGCATCATGCGAATAGTGGTGAATTTAACAACAGGAGCAAAGATTTCTGCATAATCTACCCCCTCTTTTTGAGTAAACCCTTTCGCAACCAACCTAGCCTTAAACCTAACATCACTAGGTTCTTCCTTAACCTTAAACAACCACTTACACTCAACTACGGAACAGTTGGGAGGTCTAGGTACAAGGGTCCAAGTCTGGTTCACTCTCAAAGAGTCCATCTCATTTTTCATGGCACTAATCCATTTCTGAGACTCTTTGGAACCTAAGGCTTCACGGTAGGTCTTGGGTTCATTCAGCTCTAGGGATTCAAACACAGAAAATGCAAACATAGAAGTATCATGCACAATGAAAGCATAATCAGGCATACTATCAGCAGTTCTCCTGATAGCCCTTCTACTCCTATCTCTAGCAAGTTGATAATCATGCAAATTATCACTACTAGGCTCCACATGCAACTCATGCAAATTATTGTTATCATGAAAATCAGATTCAGCACCCATATCATGCAAATCATGCTTAGTATCATGCAAATGCTCCACCTCACTCGAGGTGGTGGGACTATCATGCTCAGAGGAATCAGAATCATGCATAACAATATCATCAGTAATAGCAGGATCAACAGACAAAGGACTAGCAGCAACAGGGACAGACTCCACCTCACTAGGAGTACTATCAGACCTAGACTCAGGATTAGAAACAGACTCGGTCAAGCAAGGAAAATCAGTTTCATTAAACACCACATTTCTGCTAAGGACCACTTTAAAGCCTACCTGGTTCCTATCCCATAACCTGTAACCCTTTACCCCCTCTGGATAACCTAGGAAGACACATTTCTTAGACCTAGGATCCAACTTGTCACCCTGTTGGTGTGCATACGCTGCACAACCAAACACCCGAAGGTTAGACAGATCAAGAGGCTTACCGGTAAAGACGGCTTCAGGACACTTACCACCAAGAGGGACAGACGGGGACCTATTAACCAAATAGGCAGCAGTAGTGACTGCTTCACCCCAGAATTTCTTAGACAAACCAGAGGTAGCTAACATGCTTCTAACCTTATCCAACAGAGACCTATTCATTCTCTCTGCTATCCCATTCTGTTGGGGAGTATAAGGCACAGTTTTGTGCCTTTTTATCCCACAATCCACACACAGCTTATCCATCTCCTTATTACAGAACTCTAACCCGTTATCGGTCCTAAGGGTTTTAACCTTCCTGCCAGTCTGGTTTTCAACTAGGGTTTTCCACTCCCTAAACCTCACAAACACATCAGACTTGTGTTCTAAAAGGCAAACCCACACCTTCCTAGAAAAGTCATCAATAATAGAAAGGAAATATTTCCTACCCCCGTGGGTAGGAACACTGGCAGGACCCCAAACATCGGCATGAACATATTCAAGCACAGACGAACACTTAGACAGGTTAGGGTAAGAGGAAGGAGGAAAGCTGACCCTATGCTGCTTGCCTAACACACATGATTCACAGAAAGGCACAGAAAGTCACAGAGTCCTTACCAAAATAACCAGCCCTACGCATGACATCTAAACCCTTATTGCTCATATGTCCTAGCCTATTATGCCACAAAGAGGTCTTATCAGAACATACAACATTCACAGATTCAGCAAAAGGTTTAGCATGACACACATAAAGGTTATTCACCTTCTCAGCTTTAAACAAAACAAGCGAGTTTTTCAGGATTTTCATACAACCATTCCCCCATTTTCCCTGTAACCCACTACTCTCCAAAGCAGCAACAGATAACAAGTTATGACACAAATCAGGGACATGCCTCACATTCTTAATGGTAAACACAGAGCCACAAGAAAATTTCAGACATATATCACCAACACCAAGCACATTGCATCTCTTATTATCAGCTAAGGAAACGTAGCCACTATCACATAATTCATAAGTAGAAAACAAATCTCTAAAGGGGGACATGTGATAGGTACAACCAGAGTCAATCAACCATTCATGCTCAGACAGGGAATTTCTCACAGAATTAACATGGTCACAAACCATTAAAATATCACCAAGGTCACATTTATCAACAGCTACACTAGCATGCTCGGTCTTCTTAGGGTGGGGGCAATCCTTAATGAAATGGCCAGCGTTACCACAATTGTAACACACTCTCTTCCTAGATTTACTCCTCTTCCTCCCAGGCTGACTAGTGTTCTTACTCTGACTATTTTGCTTAGAGTTCTTAGACCTACCCTTAGATCTACCTCTAACAAACATAGCCTCACCGGAGTCCCTGGACTGACTAGCACTACCCCTAGCATGCTTCAGGTCTAATTCCTTACTCCTTAACCCATTCACAACAATGTCTAACGAAATCTCATCCCTACCATACTTAATAGCGGACTTAACATCATTATAAGAGTCGGGAATGTCATTAAGTAATACTATGGGAGTGTAATCATCTATGTGTTTATCACCTGCCTGTTTGATATTCTGTATCAGTTTATTAAACACATCCAGGTTCTCATCTATATCCTTAGTCAGGTCAAGCCTAAACCTAAAGAATTTCTCTAGTAAAAACAACTTTCCGGGCAAAGAGGTATCAGTATAGAGACTATCCAATTTCTCCCACAACTCCTTAGCAGACTCAAGAATACCCACTTTCCTAAGCACAGAATCAAACAGATTCAAGTAAATAGTAGAACAAGTAGTTTCGTTCATTTCAATTTGCTTAGCCTTATCTTCTTATTCAAGGAAAATACCAGTGACAGCTCTGAAAACTTTTTGCTGTATTAACACACACTTAATTTTCTGTTTCCAAATATCAAAATCTGTTTTTCCATTAAATGGAAGCATACCATACTGATTCGCAGCCATGGTATCAACCACAAAGGAACACAAAGCTAAACAGACAGAAATGACAGAAAATAATCCAACCCGGGTTATAAAGTATTCACTTTAATAACCCCGGGCAGCATGCAACACATAGCAAAAAATGGACATTTTGGCAATTAAACAATTCCGGGCAGAAAATTAAATTAATTAATTCTACCCCTACCACCCAATAAACCACCCCTACGCATAACAATTAAATTAAATAACACTTAGCAATTTAATTAATTAACTAAAACAGTCTACCACAAAGGAGAAAGTTTAGTACGTACCTGGGGGGTTGGCGGCCGGGATTAAATCAACCGGCGGCCCGCGGGGAGGGGGAAAAAATTAAATTAAATTAAAACCGGAATAAAATAAATAGGAAGTTTATTGAAAACTCACCTTCGCGAAACCCTAGGAGAGTGTTTCGACCTTACCTACCCAATTTTTAAAAAAATGGGATTTTCTGAGATGTTGACTGACTGTTGACCGTCATTGACCGGCCGTTGACTGGCGGTTGACCGGCGGTTGACTGGTGGTTGGCTGGTTCCAGCTCCAGGTCTAGCAGCCCAGTAACAGATCCAGCCCAACAGTCCAAGTCCAAGTCCAGCAGCTTTCCAGCAGCTCCAACAGTCAAATGGACTGACCCAATTGTCCACTAGCCCGATTCCAGCTCAGAAGCAGCAACTCATCTTCCAGTAGCCAGCAACTCCAGTCCAGAGGCCCAAAAGAAGAAACCGGCCCAAAATTTTCCTAAGCTCCAGCTTGACCAGCGGCCCTTCTACAGCACTCCCAGCGCCTTCGTTTCAGCTTCTCCGCGAGAGAAGAAACACCAACGATGAGCGAGCTCCAGTCCTTCTGCGAGCCACAAATGTCGCAGGCTGGTGGCTTCGACGGAGGAGCGATGGCAGGCGACCGGTGGTGGCGAGCGGCGAGATATTTCCGGACGGCGAGCTTCGTTCCCAGCGGCGGCGATTCCGGATAGAGGGAAACCAACCTCCGGCGATGGTGGAGGTTCCAGGCGGCGATGGCGGAGGTTCCACTTCCGGCGAGCTCGATTTCAGCGAACAGAGACCTCAGCGAGCTCGTGGGAACGACCAGGCAGCTCCAAGACCTTCGGCGAGCTCCAATCGACGGCGGCGGCGGACGGCGGCAGACGGCGAACTCCAGCTCTGATACCACTGTAAGGTATGGATTCCGTCTCCGGCTCAGGTCTTTCTACACACTACTCACATACACCACACTAGGAGGAAGCTACTACACAACTCTATTTTTGACTCTCCACTTAGGACCTCTCTCAGCTCTCACACAAAGGAAAGAAGAAGAAGGGAGCACTGCTCTCAATAGAACACTCACGCAGGCTGCTTCAACAAGGGAAGAAGCAAGGACTTCAAATAGGCTGCCAAGGGGGTTCACGGGTGATGCTAGACAAAAGACAATCACATGCTACCAATACAAAGGAGAGTCACATGTATAGGCCAAGACAAAGTGATGCAGCGGACAGAACACAGAGGGGCCAGCCAAGTGGGTAAGTCAACCCTCAAACAGGTATATTATTGATCAGATAAAATACCAAGGTAAAGGTACCAAAGTGGGAGTAAAACAATAGGGTGCAAGCCTCAACAAATAAAGTGGAAGGGAGACCTTGGCAGGACCAATACCTCCAACACCCACGTTCGGGCTCAAAGCATACGCCAAAAGATTCTATTTTGACTTCTCCTCCACCTACGTCGGCGTCGGAATGCTCTGTCCGTACATGGTCAACGTCTCCTTACTCATCGGCGCCGTTATTTCGTGGGGGATTTTGTGGCCGTGGATCGAGACCAAGAAAGGGGTGTGGTACGCCGCCGACCTCCCGGCGTCCAGCCTTCGCGGCATCCAAGGCTACCGCGTCTTCCTCGCTATTTCAATGATGCTCGGAGATGGGCTCTTCCACTTCGTCTATATGACCATAACCACCGTTCTCAGCCTTCTTCTTCGTAAGTATAAGAATCAAGAAACAGGGGAAGAAACAGGGGAAGAAGAAGGTAAAGAAGATTATGACGAAAAGAAAAGGACGGAATTTTTCTTGAAAGACTCGATACCATAGTGGGTGGGGCTGGCCGGATATTTCGGGCTGGCGGTTATCTCCGTCGTCGTCGTGCCGCTAATTTTCCGGCCATTAAAATGGTACCATATCATAGTAGTGTATGCTATTGCCCCTGTTCTTGCCTTCTGCAACGCTTATGGGTGTGGATTGACGGATTGGTCCCTGGCGTCGAACTACGGGAAGGTGTCGATCTTGATTTTCAGTTCTTGGATCGGGCTGAGCAACGGCGGCGTCCTGGCCGGCCTGACCGCCTGCGGCGTCATGATGAGCATCGTCTCCACCGCCTCCGACCTAATGCAGGATTTCAAGACGGGCTACCTCACTCTGGCTTCTCCGAGGGCGATGTTCTTCAGCCAAGTGATCGGAACCGGAATGGGCTGCCTTATAACGCCGCTGGTTTTTTGGATCTTCTACAAGGCGTACCCGCTCGGAGACCCGGACGGGTCGTACCCGGCGCCGTACGCGCTGATGTACCGCGGGATTGCTCTGCTCGGGGTGGAGGGGTTTGGGTCTTTGCCGAGGAACTGCCTGGGGCTCGCCGTCGGCTGCTTTTTCGCCGCCGTCGCCATTAACGGGCTAGTGGAGTTGCTGAAGAAGTATGAGAGGAAATACAGGGTGTACCGGTTCGTGCCGAATCCGATGTGTATGGCTATCCCGTTTTACCTTGGAGGGTACTTCGCCATTGATATGTGCATTGGAAGTTTGATTCGGTTCTTGTGGCGGAGGGCGGACGCGCAGAAAGCTAAAGACTTCGGGCCTGCCGTCGCGTCGGGGCTCGTCTGCGGGGAATCTTTGTGGGGGATTCCGGCGGCTGTGCTGGCTTTGGTCAACGTCAAAGCCCCCTTGTGCATGAAGTTTGTCTCGTCGTCATCTTAATTACCAGTGCTACGATCTTTTTATTTTTAGTATTTTTGTTGTTACTTAATTCTATAGGATTAGCTAGCCAAGTAGCTACAATTTGATCTTGCTTGTAATTCTTAAATTAAATGGAGTGTTTAATTTCAAATTAGTATGAGTGAAGTTTTTAGGATGTTTTCTTTTGGGCTAATTTTAGTTCCAGACCAGAATTATACAGATCAGAACAAATTCGAATAGTTAAAACATGCAGAGACAAGACATTTACCAAACCAGTTCAAACCAGACCAATTAACATTAAACCAAAATAGACCAATAAATTTCAATCTAAAAGAAAACATCTTTAATACTACGTTAGAGGGAAACATGGTACAAGTGCATGACATTTTTAATTTTGTGAAACCTAGTGGCAGTTTAGCACATTCTTGGAACTACTATTGTGCCTTTAATCGTAATTAGTCAATATTATTAAATAAGTTTATATAAAAGAAATAAGTATGTGATGATACTAAAGAATATAAACTAACACTAATTGATATATTAATGTGATATACGTAGTATATCTCTACAACTTTTCCAAGTCCTTTAATTTGAAGAGAGTTGAATTGTAGGCATACTTTAATGTGTCAAAACTAGTGAGGATGAGTAAGAATATCATACTATATCTTAGGAGAACTTAAATTTCACTTCATTTTTGGACAATATTGGACTTAACATCTTATTTTCGAAATCACTAATGTGTGTAATTGATCAATTTAAAAATTGTGAAGGAATTGTCGTGCAAAGTTGTTAAGGCCTGGGGTTCTATCCTAAAAGGTCAACCTCTTAGGAGGAGTAGCCCAAATCTTTCAGAGATATCCGGTGTGTGACTTTTAACATCCCTCCTCACGACCAGACACTTCGTCTGGATCATGCCGTCATTCATTTTTTTCATTGGTTCGTCATTGTCATTTTTTTATAATTGTGTCATCATTTTTCATAAGGGACTCCCACACCATGGATCGATTTGGCTCTGATACCATGTTAAGACCCGGGGTTCTATCCTAAAAGGTCAACCTGTTAGGAGGAGTAGCCCAGATCTTTCAGAGATATCCGGTGTGTGACTTTTAACAAAAGTCATAATTGTTTTTACTGAAATGAGGTGCATACAATAATGATCTTAAATACGATAGTATGATGTAAAGTTCAATATCACTTAAAATATGTTGTGCAAATTAAAGTCGAATTCCATTAGATTTAAGTGTAAAATTTAAAAAAAAAATGGAAGACCTTAAATGAGAGTCGAGAGAGGAAAAAACCTAGATGTAGCGGAGCTGCTAAGCTATCTTTATCTGAAAATAGCTAAACTAGCTGAAAATATCAATATATATACACCCACAGAACCATTTTACAATTAACATGAATGCCATAACAATTTTAAAAGTTCTATACAGCCACTGCAAAAAGAAATTAATAGAGTCATTCAATATGATTTCAGATTAAGCAAATTAAAGCAAATATAAAGACCAACCATAATGTTTGATGTTTTCAAAGAAAAAACTCACATAACAAACATGAGGCTCACAAGACCAGTAAGGAATTTGTTGAGAAAAGATACAAAATCATTAGAACTATTTATAAAAAGTTCAGAGAACTATTTTAAAACCAAAAACCTCTGCTAGTTATTTTACTGTGCCCGCCCCTTTTGTCAATTGGAATATCTGGAAACCTGGTTTTAAATGTGGTAGAATTCTTATGAATGAGTAATAAGCACAAAGACGTAACAAAGACCATCACCTCCTACAAATTTGAATTGTAATTAAAAAAAATTGAGATCTAATGAGATTTTTTTTTAATTAATACTCAAGTAAATATTGTCTCCTTTTGTTAGAAACCAAAAGAAATGGTGTATTATGAATATGGTTAGCATAACAACCTAATCCCCATATCACATACTTCTTGCAACGGATCAATAAATTCGCTCCCCATGCAACCTAAACAACAGGAACCTTGCTCTTTAATCTCTGATGAAGCCTCGACCAACCCATTTCAAATCTACAATAAAGCATTACGCGCATGTTGGGAACCTTAAACAACCGATGAATGTGCATGCAAAATGAAAGCTCATTTTTTGCTCGTTTTAAAAGTTGATTTACACTCTCATATCTTTTATCTATAGTAAGTTAAAGAAAAAAATTGCAAGAAATTAAAAAGTAAAAACCACAAACAATAATACCCCGGAGTAACTAATAAGCACCTCATACCTCAAACCAAAAAGCCACTAATAAACCAGCCAAAAAACAGTCAAATCCAAATATTTCAAATATGAATAATATTCCATACCTCGTAGCGATTCCTGGAAAAAAACAGTTGATAGATTAACAAGTTCTGGAATCTATAACGACAGTTTTCACATGAGTTCACACATGTCATGGGGAATCTATAGTGGCAATTTTCAGAGAAATAATCATATTGTTTTTTCAATAAACCATAGTATTGATGAATAATAAAGAAATCAATAAATTTATTTAAAAATCTTGGTTTATTCTCAATTAGCAAACTCAATCTCAAATTAATCAATCTCAAATTAATCAAACAAAATGAACTAGACTGAAATAAAAAGAAGATCCAATTATTAGAGGGAGCTAGAATAAAAAAGCCAAAATAAAAAAGCAGATCTATTCTCAATGTTAAACCTTTACCTCAATTTCAATTAACTTGAATTCATAGAAATTGAAAAATGGAGATGCAGAAAGCAATCACAAATGGAGTAACTTAAAGAGAAAGATAGCTTAGCTTAGCATCCCCGCATGCCTCATGTGGGAAACCAAGTGTTTGAGTTGCCAGAGATCTTTTTGTTAAAAAATCTTACATGAAAGATGTTTAATGAGCTATTGGAGTGCATGACATGCTTAAATTATTAATGATGTGTCACTACAACATTTTGGATTTACTACTACGCTGAAAAACTGTTTGCCTAATAAAAAAAACTGTTGCCATTGTTTTTTGCAACAGTTTTAAAACTGTGGTAATGTAAGGCGTTGCCTATACATTAGACAACAATTTTGATATTTAAAGGCAACACATTGGAAAAACCGTACTCAAAGAGTATAGCTTAGAGAACAATTTTTTCAAATATATAGGACAACATTTTTTATTTGTTTCTATCAATAGTAACCAAAATAAACTGTTGCCAAACAGATTCCAACAATTTTTTGCAAACATTGCTACAAAGCACCATACTACTAATTTGAAATGTCAATCTTTTAAAAATTGTTTATGAAATACTTGAATGGGGAAAAGGTAGAATTTCATTTCAACAATAATCAATCACAAATCATAGTTCAACAATACCCTAGTAATCAACATCCATGATCCATTGTCTTTAAAGTGTAAATCATCACAATAGTAGTGTCTTAACTTTGAACTTATGTTGGGATATATTATCCCGGCCTATTACTGTTCAGGAGCCCAAGACATTACTCAGTACGGAGCCCGAGCAGTTAGGCCCATTTCGGCCCATCCGGCCCACTTTAGCCATTTGGGCCCACTCCGGCCCATGCGGCCCATTAGGGTGGAGAGCTTCCCTCACCCCTTTCCCTATTTATAGGAGGTTTTCCCTCCATGTAAAGGATCTTTCCTTCTTCCTTTAGCTCTCTAGATTAGATAGAACTCCATTAATGGGAGCTTCAATACTTGTACTATGTAATGGTGAGGAGAGTCTAATGAGAATGAGAGGGCTTGGACATTAGCCTAAAAAGTCCCGTGGTTTTCTCCCTTTCGGGTTTCCACGTAAAAACTGAGTGTTCATACATATATTTACTATATCGTGTGGGATTAAACTCAACACTGGCGCCGTCTGTGGGAATCTGTCCAAAAAGATTCACGTTGTTCTTCAGTTTCTACAACAAAATTCATTCGAAAATGGACTGATTTTAGCAAAGGAAGAAGAAGTTCTGAAAATTTGGTCTTGGGAAGCTCTAGCAGCACCTGCCCAACTGACCGAGGAGGAAGGGAGAAAGAAAGAAGAAAAATTTTGGGAGGCAAAGAAGCTACGAAATCTCGGAATCCACATATGGATTTTCTCAGATCTTGTTTGGGGCTGCCGGAGCCACCGTACCCGCCGCCGTGAAATCCCCGGTGGATTTACCCACACCAGACGAAGCTCGCGGCAGCACCCCAGGTCGGGTCATCCTCGCCTCTAGGGAAGCTCCGTCTGCAAACGGGCGCTCATCGCTGGCAGCTGGTTCTACGACCTGAATCGCCACCTACGCCGCTCGTTTTCGCCGTCCCACCAAGAGGCCTTAACAAATTTCAGCCTGTCTTGCTCCAGAGGACTGGCCTCGCCGGGGACCCTTTGCTCCGCTGCAGTTTACTTCCGTCCCTAAGCGGATGTACTGCCTGTTGGGGTTGGGGAGGGGTTGTTTCCATCTGCCTCTTGGAAAGATTCTTTTTGTTTGGTTGAGAGTCAACCACATCCGAAGGACCCAAATGAGATTGCAGTAAAATTGGGTGGAGCACCTTGCATGACTTCGGAAGTCAACGGTTGATGATGACTTGTGCCAGCTGCTATAACTTTGGCCAAGCTGCTCGAGGAGCAAGGCTCCAATTCGTAGATGAGCCAATTATTTCACCCATCTCAAAAGAGCTAAGTTATCATACGTACCCCTCTTTTTTTATCTAAGTATTAATAATGAAGCTTGATTACTATTGCTAGTTTTTATCACCATTATTTAATAGGGGGCAAGTATCCCGAAATTAAATAATGTCGAGTAAAGCTCAAATGAGAAAAACTATAGTGATAATCATTTTCACCGTCATTTTAATAAATGACTGGGTGTTGTGGGCCCGTCGGCCCGCTCCTGATCGGCTTTAATTAGCGAACGGAGTATACTTGAATGGCCTTTGATAGGGAAGTATCATTGCTATTACCGGTGATATCACTATTATTTATTAGGGATAAAATGTCCCGAATTAAATAATGCTGAGCGAGGCTCAAGTGATGGTTAGTTCAGCTAACATTTTATTAAATGTTTAATTGCTTGTGGGCCCGTTGGCCCACTCTCGATCAGCTTGATTAAGCGATCTGAGCGTCTCCAAAAGGGCGATGCCCCAACGACGCATTTTAATTTGAGGGTTGCACGTTAGTCCGCACGGCACTACGTGCCCGAT